ATTCTAATGCTTCAAGCTTTATAATGCATTAAGCTCATTTTCCCTGCAAGTATAAACCTTAATGCTGCGTTCACACCAGACGCGAAACACGTGCAAGCGCGAGTGATTTACATGTTAAGTCAATGCAAACGTGCCAATAGACATCCTGCGGTGTGATACGCACGAATGGCGCGAATTGTGCAAATGACGCGGCGCAAATTGAGCGTTTTGCGCGTTTGACGCGCTTAACGCGAGTTTTTCTCGAATCACTCGAGTTCGAAAATCTCAACTTTAGCGGACATTCGCGCCGCGTTAACCAATCAGGAGCTTGCTCTTGTGGGAACGTGATGGTGACGTATCGCCTGTTGTTGGTGTTCTGGGGGAAATCCTCCAGCCTTCACCGACAACAGTTCATCAAACTGGGCTTAGTCAGAAGCACCGCTGAAAGCTTCCGTCATCCAGGTTCAGTTTCTGGAGGAGTTTATGAGCTCACAGAGCTGGATGCACCTCTGAAATTATGTAGTGGACTCAGACACAACCCTAAACGTATTGACGCTGTTTTTCAGCCTTCATAAAGCACATAAACACTGTTATTTTCTTCATAAAATCCATGTTAGCTGTTTAGCTATGAAGCTAGAGTCACCGGGCAGACAGAAGCCCTGCCCTACACGCGAATCCACGTCTGTTCTGAAGAGAATTTGACACGCGAATGAAGCTGATTTGACGGGCGAATGAAGCTGGGTTTGACGCACGAATAAAGCGAGTAAACTCAAATGTTCACGTGGCTATTAACGCGCAAATAGCGCGATTTATCCGCGCGTTCCGCGTCTGGTGTGAACAGCATTAGAGAAGATTTTGCCTTACCTAAGAGAATAAATTAAGGATGCTGCATATAATCTTTTAAACACGTCTTTTATAACCATTTAGGTGTGAATGTGTCATGGTCAGAAGCAGCTTTACTGAAAATAATTCCTCCATTCCTTCAACTTAGTCCCTTATTTATCAGGGGTCGCCACAGCGGAATGAATTGCCACAGAAAATAATAAAACAGACATATAAATTGGTAAGAAATATTACAAACAATGCAATTCGGAAACACTGCAAATGATGAAAGAAGAATTCAACATGTCTCAATCAAGAACAAGTTTGCAGCGCATATTTGATGCGTAAGAAGCTAAATTGCACACCTATAAATCCATTACTTCTTTACCTAAAGGAAATAGGCCTAAAAACTGTTTACTGCAATAAGTATCTTACGCGAAGTTGTATTATTAAATATTTATGTTAAAAAATAAATTAAGTTCTATTTATCTAATAATTTCAGGCAGCTTTTAGTGAATTTGCTGTCAAAAACACAGAACTTTCAGTTGTTTTATGTAAAAAGGCCTAAATGCATGCAAGACCATTCAAATATTTTAGCTCGTTAACTATTATCGTTAACTATTTAACTATTGACAGCAGAATACTCAATGAGAGAGAAGGATTTGTACTCGCAATATCTTTACTGCTTGATTCAATTAACCTAAGAAATATAATGCTTAAAAGATCACTGTGCCTCTCGCAATCTAGTCTCTTGCTCATTCACTCTCGTTGCCAGGATTTTCAGGTATTTTAACTAATTTCAAGCCTCCACCTCCATTTACCTGTGTTGTGGCTGCTGTAGCCTATGCATAATATACTGCTATTGCACTAATGGTTAGGTCTAAACTGCATTTTGTTGTCTTGTACTTGTACATGTGTAATTGTAATTTGAATCTAATCTAATATTAAATTTGTATTTTAATGTCCATGAAGCTGAAATCCAGCTCAGTAGTCATATTATAACCTTTTCTTAAGCACTAATCCAAAAAGCCTTTCACAAAGGAGCCACTGCTTACATGCAACTTTTTTTTTAGCTCAAGCTATTTTTTTCTTTTGCTTGCTCTCATTTCTTGTAATTTACACTCCACTCTAGCTCTTTTTTTTTTTTTTTGGTAACACTACTTTTCTCACTCTGTTCTTTTTTTTCTCTCTCTCTCTCGTAGTGTGAGTTAGGATTCAGTGTTTTTTGAGGCAGCTGCGGTGCTGCCACACTCAGACTCTCTCTTGTGCATGTCAATTCCCCAGGCTGAAGCGCTTGTACAATCCCCCACTGTGCTGCCCTCTAAATCATGGCTTTCTTTCCACTTCCTCCCCCTGCCGTGCACTGCGACCCTCCCTGCTCTCGCCTGCCTGCCTGCCTTGGGCTCATGTGCCCAGAGTCACTGGAATCAGAAAAATGCAGCAGGCATTTAGAGCGTTCACCTCAGTCCTTTCTAATACGGCGCCTCTGGACACATACACAATCTGCTGACATGTTCAATCATTTTGGAAAAATAAAATGTGTTACTGCTCTTGATTAGATGCCCTGTTCATATTTAACAAATTGCATCAAATAATGTTACCCCATAACACACGGTTTAAGCCTAATGCCATACAGTAAGTTTCTAGTAGCAAGCTCTTTGTCTGTTCACATTTGCTATACCACTTGAGCCCCATTTACACTAATACATTTTAGTGTAATATTCATTATACCACTGAAAATGCGCACACTGCAGCCTATTTGGACGTCTGAGCTCCAGGCAGTCAGCGGGTACTTTGAACACAATACCCCAGGTGAGAGCAGTGCGCGTCAGCAAGTTCATCAAGAAACTTCAGCTAGATTACTATACTATCACTATAGTTTTTAAACATGATATTTAATTAATCTCTTCTCTATCTAACAACTATTTGAAAAACTGGGGTATTAGACGCAAATAAGGAGTAAGGACTGGTGAGAGTGTTATGGAATTTAATAATGCACGCCATTTGGAAAGAAAAAAAACTTTCAAGTTTCACAATGTTTGTGTGTTTGTGTGTGTGTGCGTGCATGCGTGCGGTCCTTTACTGACAGCGTGTGTGGATCTTGTTTACTGATCGCAGTGTTTACTTCAATAATGCCACTAATATATGCATATATTAATTAGTAAACACAAGTACATCTTATTAAACAATTTATTTTCATCACCAATTATCATAGTAGAACAGTTTCTCAAGCAGTTTCTGATGAATTTTGGAAACAGGAAATGAGCCCCTGGTCTCATGCGCCACCTGGCTTGAGAAACCCGTCTTATTATTTGGGTAGCACACATATTCTGAATGCCTTCGGTAGAATTCACATCATCTATTTTAATCTAGATTAATTGCGAGAATAATCTAGATTAAAAAATTTCATCTATGCCCACCTATAATTTTAATTTATGTAACCACGTACACAGATTCTGCACATTTGACTGATTACTTTCCTTTATTTTCTTATATTGTATAAACAATTCTTATATTATATTCAGCAAAACAGACAGGATATGTTTAATATTTTTCAATGAAAATGAATAAATATGCATACAGTGAAGATGACAATCATATAAATATGTAGCTACATGACGCCTCAACATTTTGGTGTCTGTTAAGTTGTTAATATCAAACTGAAAATAAACCGTTCCTTATATCATGTTTTAATTTTGCTGTTAAGATAGTGAAACAATGTAACCAGGATGATGTAAATGACGTTATAAAGTACACTGTTCCCTTTGAAGATTTACCCGACGTGTCCTCGGGAGTTTGTTTTCCATATAAAACTTGCAACGTCTGAACTTAAGAAAAGGACGCAAGACTGAACTTTGTGTCCTTAATATTAAGGAAAAAGCCCCAATCAGGTAGGCAAATGTCTGCAGCCACTCCTCCATTTTTAGATGTCTTCGTTTTTCCCCATCCACACTGACACGGAGCAGCAACGGTTTAAAATGAACTTGGCCTCTTCAGCGTTTTTTAAAACGGTCTGTTTTCAGGGTTCAAAAACTTCTGGATAGTGTGAACGGAAGGCATAACCATAGCAAAACTTATGCATTTTTAAAACTATATTGTATTAGTGTAAACGGCCTTAACAAATCAGACGTAAAAATCACAGGCATTCAGAAGAAAATATGTGTTATCATCAATCGTGCATGCCACATTTACAACATAATTGACAGGTTTAAAATATAATTGATAAGCAATTTTTTCAACATGATTAAGTTCTGTTTTTACAGTTCCCCAATAATGAAAATTCTGTCATCATTTGCTCACCCTCCATTTGTTCTCACTTTTGTTTTTTTTCTGTTGAAGACAAAAGAAGATATTTCAATGTATATTGAAAAACGGGTAGTCATTGACTTCTATTGTTGTTGTTTCCCCACTATGCAAGTTGATGTCTTTGCATTTGGAACCACCTGAGGGTGCATTTTTTTATTATTATTATTATTATTAGAATGTTTTTTTAAGCTTTATGTTGTTATCAATCAGTCTCTAAGGTAAATTATCTATGACACAGGACATAGTATAAAAGTATTTTCAAACTCGCATAAACATTAAATAAAGCACATGATTAGTTCCTGATATTTATCATTGTCTTTGTGTTTATGGTGTAGTTTTAATCATGTTGTAACAAAAACAAAAATGTTTACAAAAGTCCAGTCTTCGGTTGCTGGTTGCACATCACAGTTAAGGCTAGTTTGGCCAAATATAATTTTTATTTTTAATGCATTTTGCTGTGATGTTGGTTTATGAAGTGGTGGACATTAATTTTACAGATTTACAAAGCCTTGATTTTTTTTTTTTTTTTTTTTTTTTTAAGTTTTTTTTTTTTGTTGTTGAACACAAAAGAAGATGTTTTGAAAAATGTTGGAAAATTAGCTGTTTACTGACATCCAAAGCAGCAAAATTATACCATGGAAGGCAATATACATTCTAACATTCTTTTGTAAATTTATCATCTTTAGAGAAGTAAAATGCTAATAAAAATGCTCATAATTTAGAGAAAGTGGAGCACTAACAAATAATGACAGTGTTGTCATTTTTAGGTGAACTATACCTTTAGGGTAAAAAAAAAAGATCATCTGCTGGTGTAGACTCTAATAATGTTGTAATTATAGTTCTTAGTGTAAACAGACATTATTTTCCAAATATTCTCTTTTCTTGTCTTTCAGACGGAACTTAACAAAGTTGTCGCTGATTTTCAGTCACATGCTCGCTGAGCTCAAAGCCATCTTTCCTAATGGTCTGTTTCAAGGGGACAACTTCAGAATCACCAAAGCGGATGCCGCAGAGTTCTGGAGAAGATCGTTCGGGGACAAGTGAGATGCTTCATGTGCTCTTAGTACCCGTAAAAGATTAACATGTTCTATGAAAAAACAAAACAAAAGCAAGATGGACTTTGTCATGCTTTAGAAAACTGTTTCCAATAAGCTGAATTTCTCTGAATTTCAGGACCATTGTGCCTTGGAAGGTGTTCCGTCAGGCCCTGCATGAGTTTCACCCCATCAGCTCAGGCCTGGAGGCCATGGCACTGAAATCCACCATCGACCTCACATGCAACGACTACATCTCCGTTTTTGAGTTTGACATCTTCACCAGGCTATTCCAGGTGCGTCACTCAGTCACTCCATCACTTCCTCCAAGCACAGACTAGCTCCATTGTCTGTGCGCTTGCTCTGACAATGATTATTGTTGTGTGGCTGTGGCTACGGAGGCGCCGTTGAGTGCTGATGCTTCAGTTCTCATGGCTGAATGGAGGCCTCTTATCGCCTTTTGTTGCTCAAACAGGCTTGTCTGCACTCCTCCGAGCACATGATTTCCTGTGAGTAGGGGGCGAGAGATGATTTTAAAAAGTGCCTCTGCTTTACATGAGAGATCTGTTTGACCTATTTTAATGACAACTGCTGCTAACCTCTGTGGGATTTTTTTTAGCTCTAATTATGTACTCTTTGAGAACAACGCAGAACAGAGATGTTTGAGGTTTTTCTTTTCTTTTACTCGAGTTGTGTTTACTCATAGGTTTTATATTCGCACCACATAATTAGTGGTGACTACTAGAGCAGAAATTGCAATTAGTATAGCTCATACTTAAGGTTTGATCAAATTCTTGTTTGAAGTATTTAACTATGTGGGTCGATGGAATTAATAATTCTTGAGTTTTGTCAAGCACTGCACAACCTGTTAAACTAGTCTGAATACACTATCAATCAAAAGTTGAAGTCTCTTATTCTCACCAATTTTTTTTTTTAAAACAGTATATATAATTTTAAATGACTCAAATCCATAACACTTTCAGAGATGAAATTCACATTCAAGCAAATCTTGATACTACAAAACTGTTACCATGAGTTGTAGGGTTGTCACGATACTGGAATTCAATACCAGTCAGTACTGGAATTTTAAAAATGGCAATTTCCCGCTAACATTTAAGCACTACTGAGCACGTTCTTAAATAGCACTGATTTGCCGTTGTGTTCATGCGCTTAACAGAAATAACTGTGATTGGCCATGAAGGTCATCGATTCACCGAACTCACCTGTTTACTGAGTGTAATCACAGATACAGGGACACAGGAGCATTTCAGTCATGTCAATCAGCTGGTTTGTCTATAAGCTTGACATATGAGCGGTCCACTGATGAATCGCGGCTTTACAATGCTACAGTGCCCCTGTATCTGTGGTTACATGCAGTAAACAGTGGTGAGTTTAATTAACCGATGACATTGACGGCTAATCACAGTCATTTCTCTTGAGCATGTGAACACAATGGCAAATCAGCTCTGTTTAAGAACTCGCTTGACAATGCTTAAATGTTTGTGGAAAATGGATGTTGTTAATTTTAGTACTGATTGGTAGAGTTGTGCGATTAATCAAAATCGAATCACAATCACAATTTGAAACGTGACTAGCTAATAGAAATATGTATAAGTATTATTTGATTTCCCCAACAAGTGAAAATGCGTGACTGCCATGTGTGTGTGTGTAATAGTCTTACTAGCCAATTTAGTGAGGACACTTGTTCTGCCCAATCAGAATTGCGCAGAGGGACTATGCGCAAAGGAACACACAGGAAAGCACGGACGAGTGGTATGATGATATTTGCTGCTTCAGAAGCATTAATAGACGAATTAATATCAACTAATATAATATATAACATAATATAACAGCACATCGGTAATATGTGAATGTTTTGGTTTCAAAGTCACAGACACCGAACAAAAACAGGTCATTTGTAAGAATTGTTGTTCCAGCACAAGGATATACAATAACCAGCATCTAAAAAAGCACCACAGGCAGCTTTATGAAGGGTGTCTTGCTAAAAAGTCAACTGAAAGAATTGCCAGTGACACTCAATCTAATAGCAAGCAAACACAAGAGTACAATTTCAGAGATGTTCGGTATTTTATAATTATATATATATTTTTTTTTATAACAAGCTACACTATCTCCCTAATTTGAGTTAAACTTGTTTGTAGAAAGGTACGGTCATTTTATTTGTGCTTACTGTTTGCTCTGGAGAAAAATGAGTCTTATTTCTGAATATTTAAAAACAAATTTGAAATAAAAAAAATTGGAGTAGGTTAATATCTTTTAAGTTCCTTTTTTTATCTAACTTTTTTTAGTTATAATACAGATTATTGAACTAAAGCTTGACTACAGAGTTAAATCGCAAATCAAATCGAAATGGCAACACCTGTCATAAAAGCATCATTGCAAAATCAATTGCACAGTTCTACCATTTGGTATTGAATTCCAGTATCGTGACAACCCAAATGAGCTGTTCAAGTGATTAAAGACCACAATGCTGCACATTTATTATCATTCTCTCAAATTTGATAATAGTGCTATGTAATTTCACATTTCCAGACATTGTTAGATTTAATAATTTAAAAAAACAAACATCTTGGCTAACTGGCAGCTGTTAATAAATTCATCAAACTGTTAACACCATTTTTGTGGCTGAATAATAGACAAGCACATTTCCATTCATATCTTTGTTCAGCTGTATTGATTCGTGCTGTTGAATTTATTTTTACTTGTTCTTTAATTTTACTGACTACTTATTTGACTTTATTTAGGTTAGCCTAAAGTTTTTGCCCCTTTTTTTGTAACGGTGGATAGGAAAAATGATCTGTTACACAAACATAATATCTAATTATCTACCATAGTTTTTTTTTCTCAAATAAGATCCTCTTTCTGTAAATAAAAACAAACAAACATTACAATATATCAACTTGCTTACTAGGGTTGCTCATGTTAGGCGTTAACCCAAAAAGAGCGTTTTAACTGATTAATGGTAAGCTAAATGATTAAAAAATATAATTAAAAATTTTTTTAAGTTGGCTGCATAAATGTGTAACACACATTTGTTAACTCGCAGGGCGGTAACATGTGTAACCAACCACACATGCTGACAGATGTATTTTGTCAAAGAAGCAAATTGAAAGCAGAATATTGCTGATCACAGTTTGACACAGACAAGTTGATGCCAAACCAGCGCTGACGATCTCACTCTTGGATCCGCATCATAAACGCTTACGTTTAGTTGACAATTGGAGAAAGAAGTCACAAAAAAAACTTTCTGAAATGTGCTCTGCTTTGGAAACAAGCCGGCCACAAGTCAGAGAGTCAGGATTTTCCCTCCATCAGAGCATACTTCAGCCTCACTTATAAACACAACAAATAGGCTATTGTTGTGGTGATTTAGTGTACAACCAGCAAACCAACATTTTTTCTATTTGGAAAATTACAGTTATTAATGGTTCTTATAAAATGTCTATTTTTAAAATGGCTTGCATAGCCTAACAAAGTCAATGATTACTTGATTTTTGCATATTGATAACACCACACCAAACTGAGACTTTCGGTTTATAGCTTATAAAACATGTATGCAAATTAATGTAATATAACAAAATTGTTATGCTATAGTAGCCTATATTTAACAAAAAGTCAATATGCAACTTGTCATTGTCTTTAATCACATGCAGCTTGCATATAAACCGCAAGTGAGTTGGAGAAAATGAAAGCACATAAGCTCTAAGGTAAAACCAGACGCTCAAGACATAATCTTTAAACTAATGACTTTTATTAAAAATGTTGACAGAGGTTTGTGATATAAGTATTACAGGAGAGCAAAATCGATTTGAGGGAAGTCTGCTATTTTTATTTGACAGAAGAAAAAACATGATTGGAAAAAACAGCCTATGGCGGTTCTAGGGCAGGACTATTTTATTCTTTTTTTAGTTTTTTCTAAGCTGTTGGAAATACTGCAGGCACGTGTAGATGTTCTGCTGCTGTTCGCATATTAAAGTAAATCAATATTTCTAAAATACTATATTTAATGTGTTAGAAACAAAATAGATACAATTTTTTTTTAATAAATAATAATTTAATATTAATCTGACCAGTTAAAGGTTAATATTCGGTTAACGAGTGGTGGTTGTCGGTTTGCAAAATTAACCGAAATAAAAATCTCTGTTGCTTTTGATGTATTGCTAATCACAATATAACCTTTAATAAACCCTGCATTTCAAAATATCATATCACCTGAATCTTGCAGATATACATCCCTACTGAAAACAACTCTCAATACCAGATAATCTAGGCAAAACAAAAGAACCAACCAAGATCCTGGAGAACTATATTTTCTCCAATTGTATGAATTGAAAATAGATTAGCTTAACTCATGTAGCGTGAGCCCAGTTTTACTGTCACTTTCGATCAATTTAATATGTCTGAGTCTTTTTTTAAATAAAAGTATTATTTTCTTTCAATAAAAAGTCTTACTGACCCCAAACTTCAAGTGGTAGTGAACCCTAACATCCTGGTGATGAGTTTTGCCGCTCACGTTGTTTTTAGAAAATCTAGCCATGCTGAATTTTCCATGGAACGGTTGACTGTTGTGATTCTAATATGAATCTATAATATAGCAGCTGTTGAACGCATCCTCTGACGGCCGCTTGGCAGCACAACACTATGTAATGAGCTCATTATTCAGAGTCCTCCAGCACACACACACACATCCGTCCTCTCTCTTCTCAACAGACCATAATCATATCTGTCCTTTAATTAGCCCTTACTTCACATCAGAGCTAATTCGGGAAAATACAGACTCGAGTTCGTTTTTTTTTTACAGCCGATGCAGCCTTAATCAAATCTGCCCTTTTTGATGCATGCAGTAACTGAGCTAACATTGACAGCACGTCATAATTCACGTCGGTATGTTGGTCTGTTCAACCGCTCAAAGCAGCCGTGGCACGACTGGCTCTGTTCCTGCTGCAGTATACCGTACTTCAGCTTCATTCATCCAGCCCAGCAGCCAGAAATAGACTGGCTGTTTACTGAGAGCCCACAAAGCTCTTTGACGAAGCTCCATGAAGCAAGGTCACGCTTCTCATCAGCATCTGAATGAAGTCGCCCCGCTGGAGAGAGAGCTGGTCGTAAGGTTATTTTCGTGAATGAAGGCTAAAACTATTGGTCTGAAAATATGTATATATTTTCTAATTGAAATAAAATAAAATATTGCAATGATTAATGTGAAATTGCAACTAAATGAAACTAACAGCACTTGCTTAACATCTGACTGAAGTCATGTATATATATATATAATTATCAGAAATTTTGGTGCCAAAATCGGACATGCAGCTGTTAGAAATGGCTGTAGATGGAGCTTTCTACATCCAGACACATCAGTTAAGGGCATGTTTATATAGGAAAACATTGATTGAGTTCAGGACTGGTCAATGTAATAAGTCTCATTCTGTATATACTGATAATGATATAGATCACAATATTGTATGAATAGCAACTCCATTTCATGAACGACAACAGTTCAACAAAATGCTGTTCGTTTTGCATGGATGCTATGAAATGATATAAATAGAAGAGATTAAATAGAGATGATCAAGACCTTGAGTATGGTGAGGATGAATGAATGACAGCTTCTAAAAGTGTCTGAGAGACATCCATTTTTTTTGCCAACTAGCCTGCTTTGTGTTTTATTTGCTAATGTAAGCTATTTTTAAAGACAAATATAATAAATATAAAACTATACATTATTTATATTATTTTATACTATATGTCTGAGAAGCTTTTTAAGTAAATGGACAATGTAAAGATATTGAAGTTTCTCAGTGTTTGCTCTGTGCTACTTGCAGTACACCAAAATATTTGAATTGATTATATTTTTATTTGCATTTTGCACATAGCATGTTACGATAGCATGGAGAATGTTTTTGTTCACTTTATTTAAATTTTTACACACATCAAAGTTTTTATCAATGTTTTGCACTGTACATTTTACACTAGCTACATTATTTGTATCTAAATACCAAATATCAGAAATGACAATAGATCATTAAGATTTCATTAATGTCAATTTTAAATTTATTGGCTTAAGGCACTTAATTGACAGATTTCATGCATTTGTTTTTCTTTGGCATAGTCCCTGATTGATCAGGTATCACCATAGTGCAATGAACCACCACTTATTTGACATATTTATATATTTTTAACTTCAGGTGGTTTGTGTAATGTGTTTTATGTTTGGTAAAATAATTTCTAATCGCATCCTTTGTGATTTTCAACTAATTACACTATTATGTCCCTATAGGTGAATTTAGAGGTTTTTGCACAAAAAAAGCGCAAGTGGATTTAGCTGGTTTTGACAAAATAGGAAAATGCACCTTCTTAAAAACCAAAGAATTGTCTAAATTGACATTTTTGGAAAAAATGAAAACTATTTTATTTACCAGCTAATAACCTTTTCATTATCTATAAAGTGACACTGCTGACCTAATTATAGGAGCCTGATAGAAAATGCTCACATATATATTGCTAAAAAGAAAAGAAAATGTCAACATTGTACTTTCTAGATTGCAACTTTCTTATGATGCTGTTTTTCGTGTTTCTGTCTGCATGCCTGTAATGTTGTGTAATATTGCACTCATATAAATTATAAAAATGTATCACCACAAACAATGTATTTTGACACACAATAACAAAAACGATAGAATAGGGCTGCACGATATATCGTTTCTGTATCGATATCGCAATTTGAACATTCCCATTAGTCACATTGAGTATGGATTTATACATTTTGCTAGTGTTTTTTAAGGCCTATGACTAAGTGTGGGTTTTTTTAAAACATTCAGCCATTAAAAATTGTACAATTTGTAACTTTGACAAATGAATAATTAATAATTTAATTGAATCAAGTGAAGGTATTATTTTACGTTTGATTACAGATAGACTCCACTGAAGCTATAACACACTGTTTATTTAATTGATATTGTTTTCTTAATTAAATTGATCTAACTCCCGTACAGAATTATCCCTATCAATCAAAAATTATTAATTCTTTGCAAATAGTTATTCAACAAATCTAGTGAAATTGTATTCCTATCTCAATGTATATCGCAGAATAAAAAAAAAATTGCATTGTTCGCTTTTTCCAATATCGTGCAGCCCTAATAGATAATACTATGAAATAAATGACTTTTTATAGTGGCCATGCTATATTTAATGTCATATTGCATAGATGATTTCATCTGCAAATGCCAAAAATGTAAAGTAGAATTTTTATTATACCTTGTATTACCTTTTAAAATAGAAGGGTTTTCATGATGTATTCTTTTACATTTGTATGGACTTGAGCTCAATGTTAGTTCAAACAATTACTCTAATTTTTAGCACTCTGCAAACATTTTCTTAATTAGACAAAAATTGCAACTAAATGTATAAAAACTAAATAGAAATGTGTTCACAGCATCTGAACTCAACTTCAAAAACCATCAAGTAAACTAAACTGAAACTACTTACGTACACTCAAATATAAAAATACATTAACCTTAGCCATACACTCACTTTCTTTACTATTTGGATTTGTCAGCGTTTGGACTCTTGTGAGAAGAATACCTCAGTACGATAAACCGGTTTTGTTTTTGTGTGTTTGCTCAGCGCACACAAGCATGATTAGGCATCATGGGTTGTGTTATTTAATGCTGAGCATCTCTGTTAAAGATGTAATATTATATGTAACCTGAGAGGAGAAGGTTGTCATATCCCTTGTGAATTGGTTGACCCTTATTTGCTTTTCATATATTTGTTTGACATATGAGAGTCAAGCTAATGATGCGCTACGCATTTAGAAAATGTGTTAATGCAGCCCACATTGAGGTGTCAGAGACCACTTTTCCACAGAAACCTATTGTAACCTGTTCACATACAATTCATGACCTTTGATTAACTTCTTTTACATGTATCATTGATAGTCGTTTAGAAAGTTAGTAGAACATTTAATTAAAATTCTATTTTAAATTAATATTATTGGTAGGATTTTTATAAGGTTATGTAATTCTGAAAAATAACAGGAATAATTTACATTTTAAGATACATTAAATATGCCATAGAATGAAAATCTGCATATACCTAGGCATAGCTGAATAATTAAAGGTCCATACATAAAAAAATAATGAGGACTAAAGACTTATGCCCGATTCACACGGTGCTTTAGCATGAACGCTTAACAAAAGGCGTGTCTGAGACTGGGGCTGACGTGATCATCATAGCAGCGTCAGCCAATTAAATTAGTCTGCAATCAGCTATTGTCTGAACTGGGGTATTTGCATAAAGCGATCTGATTGGCTGTCGCTTCTGTTGGTGCTTAAAGTTGAAAAATTCCCACTGAAGCGGTGCTGACGGATCCTAAATGCAGTTCGGCAATGCCTGACGTCATCCATTCAAAGAATAAGAAGCATTAACTCTGGCGCCACATGTGAATGGGCCATTAAATAAAAAAAATTTTCACACTTTACTTTCTTTTAATAGTCATATAAAATTAATAACATAATAATAATATTAAATGCATCATTGTCATTTAACCACACCTATTTGGGTATTTTTTCTTTTCCAAATAAATACAATTAGTAAACGATGTACTTTTTTTTTTGCTTTTTAAGTGTAAATTGCAGTAATATTTCACAGCATTTCTGTTTTACTTTAGTTACTGATCAAATAGTATTTACTGATTAAAAAAAAAGTAAATTTCAAAATGTAAAAGTTTAATTTGTTCTCAGTGATTCTCAGTTAAGATGATAAACTGGCTTTCATAGAGATGGTGAACACGGGTCCCATTTTTATGTGCCAGGAAGTGAATTTTTGACATCTTGTGACAGACAAATTTGCCTATGTGGGCAAGCTGTCGATTGGTGTCAGGGCTTGCTTTCAAACCTCTTTTTGAAAAAAGGAACCAGCCTAATTCTTAGAATTGTATTTCAGGGAGCGGAAATGCCCGTTTTGCCTGAGGTCGATGCCATGAACACAGTCTCTAAAAGAAAATAATTTCTGCACTCTGACATTCTGTAATGTCATCTGTATTGATGAGCTGGGACAGTGCTGCAAAATTAGTTGGAAGAGCTTTAGGAAAGGAAGCTAGATTTACATGTGTTTTACATTTGTCAGTATAATGTTTCCGCCTGTGTTTGGTTCAGTTGTGAGGTGCGGATCAACACCGCCATCTTGGCACTGAACTAAAAACCTTCTTTCATGATTAGACTGACACTGGACTGATGTTTATATACAGATATGCGAGTTAATTTGTTTGGCTGCTGTCACTGCTGAACAGAGTGACTTACTACTTCATTTCATCCCGGTATCTCTTCTCACATTACAAAAGAGAATAGAGAGTATCTTTGCTGTCTGATGTTTGCAATGCACTTATGAAATTCATATTATGTATTCGTTATTCACAGAAACATAGTTTGTAAATGTGGTTTGAGAAGAAGAAAAAATCGGTAAAAATGATTTTCATTCATTTATTTATTTCTTCATTTTCATGTAGCCATGGTCGTCATTGTTGAGAAACTGGAACAGCCTGGCAGTGACTCATCCCGGGTACATGGCTTTTCTAACCTATGATGAAGTCAAAGCTCGTCTACAAAAATTCATCCACAAGCCTGGCAGGTAATACAAACACTTCATTTCATTTTATCCCTGCACACATTCCTGTTAAAGGAGTAGTTCACAAAAATAAAAATCAGTTTATATAATGATTTAGATAATGACTCTGGTCATTCCAAAACCGAAATTATCATTTTTATTTTTATTTATTTACTTTATTTTATTATTTTATTTCTTTACTTATTATTTTATATATAATTTTTTATTTAATTCATTTTGTTTTAAACTTAATTTAGATTAAAGTTATTTAATTTTTTTTTCAATTTGTAAAAAATATTTTATTGTCATTTTGCATTGTATTACATTTATCTAAATACGTTTATAAATAACAAAAAGTTGTACAAGTCTTTTAGCTAAAGCTAATTGCTAAAAGTTTTTTGGAGGATGAGCCATTTATTTAATCACAGCATGCATCTTATTGTCTTGGCTCTTCAGTGTTTTTCATTCAAGCATGTTCATCATCCTTGTCACAGCAGCATTATCTGTGATTCTTACACAAACAGAGACAGGAGTTTCATGGGACAATGCACTGTCAGTCGCTTGAATCCCCCCTCTGAGAGTCCTAAAGGACAGCTTGGTACCCTCCTATCAATAGATGTATTGTAAAAGCACCATTATGTCACACACTCTCTCTCTGATTGCAAAGAAAAGCAATCATATGACCACTTCTAATACATTGAGAAGCATTTCTCAGCGATGGCTGGATTTGACACTGCTAGATTGTCTTGTATTCTCTGTTCATGTCGTAAGTGTGTTGTAATGTCATGTTTTGCTCCTTGTTACAGCTATATCTTCAGACTGAGCTGTACGAGGCTCGGACAGTGGGCTATCGGTTACGTCACGGCTGATGGAAACATCTTGCAGACCATTCCTCATAACAAACCCCTCTTCCAGGCCCTCATCGATGGCTTTAGAGAAGGATTGTAAGTTGACACTGTCTAAAGCTCACACATCCATTCAAACATGTAGATGTGTAATAAAGCTTAGGTCACACTTCATCCTTTAATCATCCATGTAAATAAACAGACTGTTTGCCTTGTTTAGCTACCTTTTTCCAGATGGACGCACTCAAAACCCAGACCTCACAGGACTGTGTGAACCCTCACCTCAAGACCATATCAAAGTCACACAGGTCTGTTGATGTTTTTATTTTTTTTCTGTCCGCCACCTAAATTCGGCACAGACTGTACAATTGACCTTTTAAGCTGTGCAGTGTAACCTTTTCTGTGAATGCATGCATGTTTCTTTACTGCTGGCTGTTATGCCATATATGGGTGTATCTGTGTATACTCACAGTAAAAACTAAACATTGTGGCATTTTTTTGAATAAAATTATTTTATTTTTACTTCATAAAAATGCGTCATAAAGGAAAATGTGAGAGAGAAAGATTCACTCAGGGAGTAATGCATGCAGTGCAAACGGTTTTATTTGAAAACTAAGAGCTTGCATTTCCAAAATGCTCGTTTGTTAATCGTTAAACTCTTGAGTAGTGTTGATGCCAAGTGTTGATGTACCAAATGAACATGCATCAGTTTAAATGTAGCCTTAGATCAGGGATGTCAAACTCAATTCCTGGAGGGCCGCAGCCCTGCACAGTTTAGTTCCAGCCCTTATTAAACACACCTGATCAAACTAATTGAGTCCTTCAGGCTTGTTTGAAACCTACAGGTATATGTGTTGGAGCAGGGTTGGAACTAAACTGTGCAGGGCTGCAGCCCTTCAGTAATTGAGTTTTACATCAATGCCTTAGATCATCTGTGTAACTCTATATGTCATCTCTTACAGGAGCAATATGAGCTGTACTGTGAGATGGGCTCTACCTTCCAGCTGTGTAAGATTTGTGCTGAGAATGACAAGGATGTGAAGATCGAGCCCTGCGGACACCTCATGTGCACTTCCTGTCTTACAGCCTGGCAGGTAAACCTAAAGAACCTTCAGCTGTCCATCTATTTAGATCTACATGAATGAATCTTACTTAATCTGTTACTTTTTTCTCACTCTTTTAGGAGTCAGAAGGCCAAGGCTGCCCATTCTGTCGCTGTGAAATTAAGGGTACAGAGCCCATCGTCGTTGACCCCTTTGATCCTAAGGATCCCAACAGCGCTGCCTCCTATGGCTGCAGGGGCATGTTTGGGGCTGAGGGAGCCCCTTCACCCAGCTACGACGATGATGATGATGACCGTTTAGAGGAAACTCCTTTCATGATTAGCAAGCTGGTCGGCTCTAAAGTGAGAATAACTTTCACCTTTTTGCTAAACCTGCAATAATGTGTCCGCTTCCTCGCCTCACCTCAGTGTCGCCTGCCTCAATAAATATTATTTTTAATTAGTTTGAGGCTGCCATTTTGAAGTTTAATATAGAAATTAACCCAAATCCAAACCAAACAACTCTTCCCGCATACACTTGACCAGGTTGCGGTAAAGGTTCTGAAATTCTGGCAGGAGTATTTAGCATCAGTGGAGCTGTGTGCTGAATGGTGTGACTTGTTTCAGGTGGAGAGGCCGCCCTCGCCGATGTCAATCTCCCCTCAGCCCGTCGTTCCTCCAGTACCTCCTCGGCTGGATCTGCTTCCTCTCAGGCCCACCAACCCTCCTGGGGCCTCAAGTCCAGGGGCCACATCCAAGGTAAATGCTCTAGCGGGGAATGTTTGGTCAAGTTTTCTTCACTTTTGGTACCTCAGGTTGAAACCCATTAAGCATTTTTTAATGCATCAGAAGGAAATGATGTTCAGATGCTACTGGAGTTTTTCCTAACTGGTTTTATCCCATTCCAGGCCCCTTCCCATCACAAAGACAAGCCATTACCGCTGCCGCCGGCTCTAAGGGATCTGCCACCTCCACCTCCCCCAGACCGTCCACACCCAGCTGGAGCAGACAACCGTCTCCCAAGACGTCCTCTCCCCAGTACGCCTGGAGACCCATCTCGTGACAAACTGCCCCCGGCCCCTCCTAACCGCAACATGCCAGACTGGAACTCCCGGCCTGTACCCAAAGCCCCATCACAGCCACCAGCAAGCGGAGACACCCGTGGATCTCGAGAGCTTTCCAACAGGCACTCTCTGCCTCTCCAACTGCCCTCTACTCTCGATTCCAGAACAGAAGCCCCCAGAAACAACGGCCCTCCCAGCCTCGACCACCAGCTGGTAAGGACATGTGTGCCATAAGTACACCTTGACAGAAGCAGAAACTGAATATTTATTTAACTTTCACATGCTTTATGTGTGCAGAGTTTTGGATCATCGAATCCTGCATCGGATTATGACAGTCCAAAAGTAAAGCCGTCTGCCTCGGCTAATGCCATCTATTCCTTGGCAATACGGTAAGTGCCACACAAAGTTGAAATAAAACTGTACAATAGGTGGGTGTGTGTGTCCACCAATTTTACCTCTGTAGGTGCTTGAATGTGCTTTGGAGGCAAAGTGTTTAAATAAACCCTTGGTGAGTTAAATGTTCCTCCAACTATTATCATTATGGTTTTTATATTTTTTTTTAGTTCAGAGAAGAAAGAATAGCAGAGTGCACACCACATCTACGAGGCTAATGGCACAAGGGAGCAGTGTTGCTTTTTTGCAGTTGATGAACAATAAAACATCCATCCTGATTTTAATAAAAGCTTACACATTTAAAGCAAAGTGAACTCCACTACATGCTTATTAATATATACAGATCATTATTTTGCATTAGTAATTAGGTTGTATTTAAAATGTTTTGTTCTCTGTGTGATCAGGGATGTTTTTATTTTTTTAGTATACCCAAGTTGTGAATTTTATTTTTATTTTATTTCTATTAAATACGTCTTTTTTTCATTCTTCAATGCAACATTACAATGTATTTTTATTGTCTTTAGGGATTTAACGATTCACTCTAAGCTGGTTGAAATTCGATTCAAACATGTGACTATTCAAGCCAGTAGAAATGTTGAGAGAATTGCGCTAATTTTTTTTAACAGAAAAAGGCGAGCAAGAGGTCGGGCGGTAGAGTAAAATAACAGCGGTGAAGTGCGCCAGACAAAACACAAGCTGTGTAAATACTGCAAAAAGACATTTACTTAGACTAACAGCACAATGAATATGATGCAGCACAAAAACCGTCAGCGCAATGGAAAACTACCATCACATTCGACTATACACCAAAATCTATTAATAAGCCAAAGCATGTGGAGCGTAGGATCTGCAGCTTCGCTTGCTCCGAGTGCTATGGAGATCACAGAGTGCATCAGTGTTTTCATAGCAAAAGTGCGAAGATGTTTTTCAGACTGAAAAAGAAAGTTGTTGCATTACAGAACAACAGGTATTAGATTATTTTACCCTCTTCTTTTCATATTAGTTTATGCATAGTTTAATCATTTGCTTATTATTATTGAATATTTAAAATATTCAAGATTTTCTTAAGTGTATTACACTGATATTTATACTAATTAATTATACAATAATATTATTTATTCACCTTTATAATCATGTTCAACTCCTTTCTCTATCCTACTATATATTTAGTCATTTTATAAGCAGTGTTTTATGCGAGTGGCCAGTTCCTAGGAGCAGAGGGGGTTATTGACCACCTCTGTAAACACTGCTCACTGGTTTAGGAAAAGCTTTCCTCTCCACACCAGGCATTTCAGTCCCCAGTGAAAAAGTTTTTTCATCAGCAGGGAGCATTGCCAGAAAACATAGATATTCTGATGTTTCTTTTTTTCTTTTTTCTTTTTTCAAATCCCAGCACAGTCCCAGTATTAGTTTGTTTATATGAAAGAGTCTTCTTTAATTTGTATTGGTCATTTTTGATGTAGAATTTGTTTTAAATTCTTAATTTAGCTCCACAGTGAAAGTTTTAGTTTGTTTATATGAAATAGTCTTCTTTTTATTTTTTGATTTATTTATTTTTTATTAGTAATTTGTTTTAAAATAGCAATTCAGTTATGTTAATATGTTAATGTGCAGCATTTAAGAAAAAAATAAAGGGCTCTTGTTCACCCTAAATTTGTTTCAAAACATTTTGTTAAAAAATTGTGACAATTGTATTGTGAGATTAGTATTGTGAATCGTATTGTATCCTAAATCAGGTGAATCTTTACAACCTAAAGAGTCTTATTGAATGTCAAAAACATTAGAAATGCGTCCTCTACTGGACTCGATTTTTTCGTTTTTTTTTTGTTGTTATTTTTTTTTTCTTCACTTTGCTGAGATTTGGGTAAAGAGTTGAAATGAAGAAAAAGCTAATCTTCAGCCAACTACATTCTGCAGCAGTCTGTTTTCCACACCGGTCCAGGCAATGTCGTTTTGATGTCATCAGCTCAGTTTTTTTACCCGTATTGATGGCCATGTGCAGTTATGAGGTGAATAAGCCTAACCAAACTGAGCCGGGTTTCTCTTCAGGGTTTTTTCCTTCACTTTTGTCAGTTGGTGAAGTTTGTTCCTCGCAACTGGCTTGCTTAGTTTGGGACTTGTGGGGCTGTGCATTGATGGATTTGCTTTTAAGTGTTTGGACTTCCAGCAGTGAAAATCAAACCACTCTGAACTGAACTAAACAACTGAACTTCAATTCTGAAAACTGGACTGACACAGTTTTAATCTACTAGAACTTCTGTTTAGCTGCTTTAACACAATCTACATTGTAAAAGCGCTATACAAATAAACATGAATTGAATTAAATATTTAACTTCCTCATCCGCTATTCAGTATACTTTAAAAGCTGCAGGGCCTTGAGTCTGTGCGTGAGTTGAAGCCCAATGCAAAAAAAGAAGTGTAAGCAAATTTGTGGTTTCCCCCTCTCAAAGTTGTTCAATCCTAAAAAGTTGGTTTGAGCAGTGTAAATTTTCATATTGCATATATATTTTTGCAGAATAAGGCCAAATATTACAGTGACTACTCATTGTAATATAATGTTGCAATAATAAAAACACCCCTGACTTCCTGTGCTACAAAGCTGTCAGTAAAGTGAACAGGCACAAATGTATGTTAACACTTCCTCCTCTTGTGCTGACAGGCCTGTTGCAGCAGCAAGAACACAGACAGGGGAGGAAACCAATGAGAATGACGAGGAGTCCGAGTACATGACTCCATCTTCTCGACCAGTGCTGCCCTCTGCTGCAGGGGAGGCTGTGCCCAGACCACCTCCACCACTCTCACTCAGTCCCAGGTAAAGTTCACTGACAACCCAGAGCTTTTAAGCACCCTGAATCTGTCAGTGCACTGAATCTCGCTGTTTATGTCCCTAGAAGTATGCTCAATGAATTAGAGTCAGAAAGTCCACAGATGTATGAAGCCATGTACAACATCCAAGCACAGGCCCTCACAGCTTCTGCACCACAGGCCAGAGACTCGGGTACTGTGAAGTGTAAAGCTTTTATCTGCATTCAGACAGTCTGCCAGTTTGGGTTGAAGGTGTAATATTGTGTTTCTGTCCTTGTTCAGATTACTCCGAATTGCCTCCTTTGACCTGCTCTAATGGCCCGCGGGATCCTGTCGGTGCATATGCTGAGGAGGAGGAGGAGGAGGAGAACAGCTATGACTATCCCAAACCTCATCTATCTGCAGCTCTAGCCCGACGCACGCTTTCAGATGCTAACTCACCATCCTCCTCAGCCTTCAGCCGCCTCTCCTTTGACAGTGACCTTGGAGCAGCTGCAAGTAAGTCAAACCCAGGCTTATTTCTGTGTTTAAAGGTTTTGAATCAACTGTTTGTTGATTTTACAGTATAGACATTTTCATTCCCTTTTTTTGTACCTAGCTATTTTCTATTAAATAAAATTACTGTAAATGCCCCAGTATACTAAAAAAAAATAATTATTATTATTCTTGCACGTCAAAATATATAAGTTATTTTTGCTCTCAGCCATGGATAAACTGATTTTAATGATTAACTCTAATGTGCAGTTTACTTCGATTAGTTAGAATGAAAATCACTCGAACATATGCGATACTCCCTTCTGAGCTGCTGTAGTTTCTTCCACATTTGCTATAGAAAGACATAAACAACATGGAAAGAATTATGAGAAATGTTGCACTCTATGAAATTGCAAAGAACATAGCAGCACAAGCACTTCTGCTAAAAAAACGGTGGTCATAAACCATGACTCTCAAGTCTCACGCACTCACTGTGAGAGACACGCATTTGAACCTGAAGCCACACCTTTTATTTCTCACGGTGAGAAGTTATCACTGTGAGAACTTGATCCGGTATTTACAATTAATGGACTAGACGTGCATATGAAAGGAACTGTTACCCATCTGATGCTGCTGTTTCTGGGTAAATTACATGACCCAGCCCTAAAGACATTCATTGAGGTACCATAAATATCAGTGCTCTGACAACTTGTCACCAGTCTGCCAGATGCAAATAAAAGCAATCAAATGCAACCCACTAGCCTAGCATGAATAATTTAGATGAACTGATATAGCGCAAACTAAAAATGAAGAAACCTCTGATTGTATGTTGACATAAACGTTACAAAATAATAGAGAAATAAATCATCTTGAAAAAGTCAACTCTTAGCAGTTATCATGAGTTTAGTTTTACTGAAAATTTCTAAAATTATTTCATTGACATTATTTTAATTATTGTTATTATTATTAGTCTTGTAAATAATAGTAAATAGATTGTGATAAATTTGATCTTTAATTGACATAATAAAAGTTCTTGAGGGAAAGTTTATTTTTTTCTTTAGCATCCTGTAATTATATAATTATGATAGGCTTAAGCTAATTATATAGCTTACTTGCAGCTAGCTCTCTGCAACTGTCACATGGACCCCCTCTAAAGCTAAGCAGGGCTGTGCCCGGTCAGTACCTGATTGGGAGTCCACATGGGAAAGTTTTAAAACGGCGTTTTAGATCAAAAACGATACGGGTCCACACTAGCGTATTACCTAGCGTCTCTGAACATATCTCCGTCCACATTATGCCACCAAAAACGTATATCACGTGACCATTCGTGCACTCTGGCCATGCGCGTTCTAGTATAAACAGAAAGCATGCGTCTCGCTCGACATTTTGTTATTGTTAGTCAACAAACGCCGGTTGAACATTAAACGCCATGGCAAAGAAAGCAAGAGAGGTATTTTTGTGGACAGACAATGAGGTCGAGTTGAAACTAAACGTAACAAATGAATAACTGCACAATGGTGCCTAAAACAGACAATAGTGCAAACAGCGCTCCCATTTCTGTGCCCATGTTGTTGTTTACAGTACTGTCTTCCGGTAGCGTTAAAGCCATGTGTTATAGTCATGTGAAAGGGGCTTGACAAATAAGGGAAGGATACGCAATGACACAAAAGCCCCAATCAAGTAGCGAATCGCGGCGGCCCCGCCTCCGTTTTCAGATGTCTCTGTTTTTTCCTCATCCACACTGAAACGGAGCAGCAGCGTTTTAGAATGAAAACGGCCTCTCCAGCGTTTTTGAAACGCTCCGTTTTCGACGCTCGAGAACTCCGGCATAGTGTGGACGGATGGCGTAACCGTAGCAAAACTTGTGCGTTTTAAAACGAAAGCGCATTAGTGTAAACTGGGCCTTAGGTTGCTGCCGGAAGTGCTGTTGGTTGAGACCAGCAGGGGGTGCTCAACATGCAGTCCTTGTGGGTCCTAACGCCCCAGTATATTGATGGGGACTCTATACTGCTTAGTGAGCTCCATCTTTCGGATGAGACATTAAACCAAGGGCCTGACTCTCTGTGGTCATTTAATATCCCAGAATGTCCTTCTAAAAAGAATAGGGGTATAACCCCAGCAGCCTGGCCAAATTTGCCCACTGGCTTCTGTCAAACATGATCTTCTAACCATCCCCATATCATCACTCTGTCTCCTCTCCACCAATCAGTTGGTGTGTGGTTGGTGCAATATGGCTCCTGTCGCGTCATCCAGGTGGATGCTGCACACTGGTGGTGGATGAGGAGATGCCCCCCAAAATGTGTAAAGTGCTTTGAGCGTCCTGAAAAGTGCAATATAAATGTAAGCATTTTTTTAATTAAACTTCAACTCTACGCATTTTGTAGTGGGTGAGCAAATTTTTGAATCATAGATTTTTTTGCTATGTTGCCCAGTCTTGCATATTTGCCAAGAGTCAATGATAGCTCTACGGCGTTTAAGAGTGTAAACAAACTAAACAAGTCTGCATTGGTGAGCTGTTACAAACTCAAAACAAACTTTATTTTGACCAGATTTTGTTGGAACTGACGTCATTTCAGTTTGTTGTTTAGTTTAGTTTGAAGTATAGCAAGGCCTTAACAAGTAAATAGTATCTGCATGCAGAACAAGACTGTAAAATGAAGTGCTTCCAGTTTTTAACAATTTTAAAGAGCAATGTTTTTCTCTTCAATTCTTACATTTTCACATGTTTTCCCTCCTTTTTGACCTCCATTTGTATATTTTATAATATTACTAAAAAGTATAAAATATGATCTGATCTGTACACCAGCGCAACTTTTTTTTCTTAACAATGCAACTTTGCTTACCTTCGAGTCAAGTTTAATTTATCGTCCTGTAGTGTTTAAATTTTTATCATAATCATGTTATTTACAGTATACATGTTTAAATGTTTCTTTGTTTAGCTAGATAAACCCATTGAGATCAAGATCTCATTTACAAGGGTGACCTGGCCAAGAGGTCCACAACACACAACTTATAAAAAATAATAATCAATAAAAAGTAAAGATAATATAGAAATACAGTTCAGCTATTCAGCTTTACCACATTACAATATGTTAAACACATACACTGAGAAATGGACTGTTGTTTCTTATAAAGGATAAAGTGAAATTATTTAATTGGCATGAGCTCAGACATTTTTAGTTCAGATTGAAGAGTATTCTAGGATGAGGGGGCGGCAAGACTAAAGGCTCACTTCCCTGTTTCAGTTCAAACCCGGGGAACAGACAAATTATTAGTTTCACTTGAACGTAGGGCGCACTGGCATTTTGACCTATGAAGAAGGGAACATGGGTATAAAGGCGCCAGACCCAGAAGAGCTTTGTAGACCAGAGTCATCCATCTTGGATTCAGAGAAGGCCACTCAGCTTTGGCATACAGTTCACATTGGTCTACGGCAGCCTGTAACAAACCTTAGAGCGCTGTAATAAACAGAGTTTAAAAGCTAAAGACATTTGGTTAAGGCATTCATTTATAAAACATCACCATATTATAGTAATGGTTTAAATGTTGCAGTCATTATACCAGGATTAAAAGCAGGATTCATTTCGATATTATAACTCAAGCTTAACTGTCAATTTGCAAACTAAATTTGCTACGTGTGCTTTAAAGGAAAGCTCCAGTAGTTAGTATTTTATATATATATATATATATATATATATATATATATATATATATATATATATATATATATATATATATATATATATATATATATATATATATATATATATATATATATATATATATATATATATATATATATATATATTAGGCATAGACGTATCCTCACACACACAGAAAGAGACCAAATATAGGGCTGTATCATTTCCGCTTTCCACCTTTATTTATTTTAGATCACATCTCAACCCCATGAGAGTGTTATGGCTTTCACTGTGCTGCAATATGATCATTGTCTCAGACATCAGTGTACACACAGGCACTATTTTTATTCTGAATTGTATTTTCAGCTGTCCTGGACCCCTCTGAAGCCCCCGAGCGGCCTCCTAAGCCATTGCCCCGTCGCATCAACTCGGATCGCAGACCCAGTCCAGTTCCCCCCGGGGCGAGTCCAGGCCCCAGCCAGCAGATCAGCAGTGAGATCGAGCACCTCTTGAGCCAGGGATACTCCCATCAGGACATCCAAAAAGCCCTAATGATTGCACAGAACAATATTGAAATGGCCAAGAACATCCTGAGGGAGTTTGTGTCCATCCCTTCTACTGCACATATCTTAACATAACGAAACTTCTCAGTGCACCCAGTCGCAGCCCGGCCACGCTCGCCTCGTATTCGTCTTGGACTTCAGAAGTCAGTGGCGTGACCCTGCATTCTTGCTCTAGCGATGGCAAGAGCCTGTTTCTCCGTAACGCTTCTTGGATTCTCTGTCCTCCTTCGTGCGCAAGGAACAGCAAGGGTTTTTTTGCGGCCGCTTCTTCAGCCTGAAGCCAACGCATGTCCCTTGAGGCTAAACAAAGACAAAAAAAAAAGACAAAAACATGTATGTGTTTATATATGGTTTAATATATAAATCAGAATATTGAGTATAGTTAATATATACACATGTATGTTGGAGAGGCACAGGGTTACCTGCAGACATCAGGGTGTGTGAAGTATTAGGCCTCAGAGTTGGGATAGCTAAAGGGAGTTCAGTAAACAGCAGACTGCAGCATTTTCTGGCGTGAAAAATGGCCTTTACTTGTGTTGCTTCGGTACATTTTGTTATTGAGTGTGTGATTTTTCTTTTTTTTGGTCTGTCTAGTTGCATGTCGGTCCCCTCAGCGCAGTTACCAGTTTTAGAAATACCGCTCAGCCCAAAGTGACCCGTTCTCCGATTGACCTTGACCTCCAGGGTACTGTGGGATCTTTATTTCTTTTAAAAGCGTGGTGGCTGGCTGGCATCGAAATTGGGCTCTCCGTCAGCCTTGTTACATCTTTGTAGCATTACTGTAAGTGTACTGTACCATGAAATTCACTTCCCAAATGTTTTAGGACAGCCAGTCCTTCAAAGTTTCCAATTGGAATGCGCTGATGAAGGGTACACGCATCTGATGTCAGGGGACACGTAACCTGTTTGCTCTAATCTGAATGTGTCATTAATATGATGGTCTCCGACAGACTTTTGTGAAGTAGCGTGTTTACTAAAGATAGTGTTCTCTAACAGATTAAGGTGCGAGAGGTTGGAGACAAAGTGAAACTGCTTAGTACAACAACAAAACACAAAAAAAAAGAAGTATTTGCTTATAAAGGTCCAAGGCCTGGCCAAGTTTCTGTATTCAGTGGGGACTGAAATCACTCTTGGGGAGGTTCGGACTTGTGTATGAAGCTGTTCATCTTAGAAACCATTTCATTTGATCACCTTAATATATTGTTATTATTAATGTTATTATTATTTGATTTATTGTTATTAATACAGAAGTGCTTTACTGCTGCTATTATTGTTAGTGCTAAACAATTAAGCCTTAAATGTACATTTGTGAATACTGTGTTTAACCCATTTTAAAGTGACAGTATCGGTTGTGTGTGATTTGGTAATGTAGCATACTTGAAATCAGAAGCAACTTGCGCAGGTGTGAGCCCAGCTGATTTATTTTTCTCTGTGTATGTGTATGTGTGTGTTTGTTTGTGTGCGTGAACATGGGATGACTGTTTTCATCCAGGTACGTTGCATTTTTGCTTGAATTACGTGCGTTGTCATGCGTTAGAAATGGTAAAATGCATCACGAGGCTCATCGCAGAAGGCCTTATTTCTGTTCTTACGTTGTCCTGCGAGGCTTTGGTGTTTACCTGTCACCGATTGGAATGGTCTTTCAGCGACAGCCCTCTTCAAGCCATGATCGCAGTGCCCATAGTCCGCCTGCTGTTAGGGAGAAGGTGCTTCCTGATCTCCCCTTTGTACTCAGGAATACCGTACATTACAACAGAATCTACATTAGTGACTACAGCCAGTGCAAGACTCTCATGCTCAGGGTGAGGAATAACGCTAGACTTCTTTTAAAGTGACTCTTAATTACTCGTTGTTACCCAGTTGGATTCCTAAAGATGGACAGTTCACCCCAAAATGAAATAAGTTATTCACTTACCTTCAGAGATGTAGATGACGACTTTTTAAGATGAAAGATTTAAGCTGAAATAATTGTTGTAGGGAGACCAAATGCTAGCACTTTAAAGGGATAGTTCACCCGAAAATGAAATTTACTCACTATTTTGACCATTTAAATTGAACTAAAAAAGAAGATATTTTAAAGAAAGCTGAAAACCAGTAACCATTGACTTCCATAGTAGAAAATACAAATACTATGGATGTCAATGTTCACAGGTTTTCAGCATTCTTTCCCAAAAAAATAAATAAATAAATAAATAAAAAAAAAAAAATATATATATATATATATATATATATATATATATATATTTTTTTTTTTTTTTCAATAAAAGAAAAACTGCTTTGAAATAATTAATTGATACAGAATATTCATTTTGAGTGAACTATCCCTCCTTTAATTGTCAAAAATATACATTTTATACAGGCAAAACAAAATTAATACTAATCCTGACCACACAGTGAAGAAGCTCGTGCTCCAAACTTTTTGATCGCGCTCAGGACTTCTGAGAATGAGAATTATTAAAGGTTATAATGTTGTAAATGTTGAGTTTTTGCGTAGACCAATTATTTTGCTTCATAAGTCATTGGCTTGTATTTAAAACAATCACCAATGGTGGGGAAAAGTCACCTACACCCTGAATGGCCTGGAGATGAGTAATTAAACATCCTTATTTTATTTATTTGTTTGGTGAACTATCCCTCTATACCATACTATACCTCTCAAAGTCAATTCCTGGAGGGCCGCAGCTCTGCACATTTTTGCACCAACCCCTTTCAAACACAGCTGATACAAATAATCGAGGCAGGGTTAGAGCAAAACTGCAGAGCTGCAGCCCTCCAGGAATTGACTGAGACCCATTCTCTTATGTAGTGTAGTTTGCGCTAAAATTGTAAATGGTATCTTTTACTCGCTCATGTCTTTCTGAATTCATTTTCCCTGTGGAAATATTTTGTTTGGCAATGGGGTCCAAAAATAAATGGATTCCCTACATGGATAAAATATATTTTGGAAATCTCTCTCAAATTTAAGTCATAGTAGTTTTGAATTGCATGAGCATAAACAAATTATGTACTTTAAAAAAAAAATAGGTGAACTTTAATATTTCAAGCCGTTGTCTTTTATTGCACCAGCACATGTGAATGCACTTGTAACTCCATTAAAGTGAGTCTGGAGGAGTCACGATGGTTGTCGCGTGGCCCAGTTTTAGTCTCTACTAACCCCTAGTGTTCTTGAGAGTGCTGCACCGGGATTGCAGGTACTTCCACGTCTCAGTCTTGTAGGTACACGAATAACCTTGAGAGCTTACGATACGTCGAGCTGTTTATTTACCAGCGTTAACTCTCGGTTTGTAGTTTCTGTTGCCTTGAAGCATATGATGGTTTAATACTGATTTTTGCTTCTTGTTTGTTTGTTTTTTTACTGCACCATATGAAGTCTAGAGATGAGAAGGTTATACACTTGTTTTTTAATCATTTTGTTCGTTTTACTGTACTACTATTGTGTGATGGACGCGTGTGAGTTTGTACAAATATTTTGGCACAGCGTACTAATTTGTGCTATGATACTGTCACTTTAAAATCAACGTGTGTAAAGTTACTTATACATAGAATACACGGAAACGGCAATGTTTTGTTTCATTTTGCATTCCTGTACATGTCAGAATTTTATTTTTGTTTACTGATGTGAATATTACTGTGAGCAGTGCCATATATGTTTAGGTATGTCCGTAATTTTGTTCTGCAACCCAGATGAAAAAAGGCCTTGTTTAGTGTAAAGAGTGAACGAAATCCCTCACGAACTCTTTGGAAAACGTTTCCATCGTCGCTTCTGTTGGCTTTGGTCAGTGACATCATGGTGAATCTCTGTCTGTTTTCTGGAATGTCTTGAATCAGACCACAAGAGGGAGCTCTCTCCTCATTTTGCCATAACTTGCCTGAGTGTTTCAGGGTTTCTTTTGTGCTAATTCTCATATCACTTTGGAAGTATGCACAGCGCTATACTGTTAATTAAAACAATAGAACAAACCTTATGGTCTCCGTGTCGTCTTTAAGGGTTTGCTTTTTAAGAACATCTGCAAGTCCCCTACTCACATTTCATGTCCCTATTACGTTATAAATTATTTATTCACATTTTTACTCTTTTAAAATAGCAGGTTTTCTTAATATAATCATGTAACTATGGAACAATATTGGGAGAGATTTAAAAAATTCTCTTGATTTACTTGGTATGGGTTTAAATAAAATGGTTTAAAAAAAGCATTTTTTTTTCCCAATTTTCAATTAGTCATCTAGAAGTGTTTTTTTAATATATAAAAAATTAGATTATTCCACCAAATATTGATTTCGCAACTCTTGAACTTTAACATTGCTGTTGTGTTTAAAAATTATTTAATATCATTATCATTAGAAGTTTACAGAAAAAAAACATCTGAAAATATGATTACAAAAACAGGACTGTAAATGCAACACCACTTTTCCCACAGTTTTTATAAAATATCCATGGTCTTCCAATAAATAAAGATTTGGTAAACATAAATTTTGATTTTGCTATGACATTTGTACACTGTACAAAGAAATTCTTGCTATTTTTATTTTTTTTTATAGTTAAATCAAATAAACATTTGTATTCATCTTAACTTGTATCAATAAATCTGACTAAAACTATTAAGTGAAGCTTTGCAAAACCTAAAGAATATTTAGTTGAAACCTGATTGACTTAATTTGTATCACTTTAACTACTTGGCTGCTTTTCTTCAATGACTTCATTCTCCAGGATTGTTCTTTTCAGTGGGAAAGTGACTACATAAACACCAGCAATTATTGCTAATGACTGAAATGGAAGTACCAGAACTTCCCCAAAACACATTTCTGAAAGTCTAGTATGTCTTTTTATAGAAATATTTAACTACGTGCTTCTGTTGTAATTCCCACAGTTCAGAGGCTTTCACATCTAAACATACCACCTAAATGAATAAGGCACAAGTTTCAGAAAAGTTTAGTTAAACCACAAAGATTCTAATTGCCAGCTGACAGCAGTAAATTGCCATACATGTAGTTTTAAGCAAATCCAAAAATTCTGCTGAAAAAAAAGTTCAGCACATCAAACAGGATGGCATTTTGACTCCTTTAAGGTGTCCACTTCAACTGCTGATTTAACAACATCAAAATGTTGCCTGTACGTGATCTTCCATCTTTGCTTGTTACACAGAAAATATTGAAGACATCTAGATTAAGCACATCTGTGTACTTTGTCCTCTGTGATGTACTGTTAGACCTTTCTTCTCTAACTGAATGCACTCATCAACAAATGAAATCATTTTATACCTAGAAGCACTAAAGCACTCACCAGCGAGGACCACATTCATATCTGGTGAAGTTTGTTAATTAAGCACAGAGGTGTACTTGAGTATTATTGTGTGTATTTGTACTTGAGTGCAACTAAAATTAATACTTTTATTTCATTACATTTTTTTTTAAATAAGTTATTTTTATTCCTTCATTTCACTTTATTCAGTTCATCCTTGCCGCTAACAAACCAATTCAATTTCACCAATGATGCGCCGGTTATTTTAAACATGTTATTTTTTTATAGGGACATTCATTTTAACATTCCATCAATATGCCCAGACAGAGATGATGCTTCCTACTTATCGCATTTTTAAGGCAGCATAGATGCATCCTTCAATGTCCTAGAAATCCCACAATCCTCCAATAGTATCTGGATGCAGCATTTATGATGCAGGCTGAGATTGCATCATTCAGACACAATGCTCTCAAATGGAGCAAGGGGTAGGGTTAGGGGTGGGGTTAGGTGAGCGCATTAAAAAGCAGCTCAGATTGCACTGCACCATGTTTGCGTCCAGACCCCTCTCCAATTCTGTGCGTTCAATTACTAAAAAAAGATGGTGTCTGGAAGCACCGCTTGGGTGTCCATTTGAAAATGTATGTTTTTGGGCAATGTTTCCCTTTTGAGGCCTTTTTATTTTGCATGACGTTTTTATTAATTCCATTAATTATCACCAAAGTTCTCTAATTTGTTGTACATGATTAGATGTTGATGCTGTCTAAAAAGACTGTCTGAATAAAGTTTACGAGATGCATTAATGGACAAATGCTGCCTCCATGTA